TTGTGTAGTTTATTGTGTGAGCTTCATAGTATAGATCAGAAATGTTGAGTATGTTAAGACATTCTGGCATATGAAGGAAGGCCAACGTGGCCGGTCTGGCAAGGCCAGACCATTTTTTCAAGTATCTATTGCATAAAGCATCTAGTAGTTTTAGATGAGTATCAGTGAGCTCATTGACTGTGAGGTGGAATCTCAGTGATGGCAGAAAATAGTCAGCAAATACTTTCAGTTTGAATTCATTACGTACCAGAGCTTTATCAATATTTGTAACACCGACTTCAATCATTGATTTTACATACTGATATTTATCATCTGATGAGTTGTCATACGATACAAGTGAACCTAGAAATTTGAACTCTTCCGTTTTGAGGGTTTCAAGTTCGATATTATCTAAGTGAAATTTCAAGTCAGTTGGTGAACCTCCAGATATTGAAAGGGTTCTACACTTTCTCTGTTTCAATTTTAAGCCAAGCGATGAAGTTCGACTAGAGATTGTATTCATGAGTCGTTGATGGGTTCTCTTATTACCTGTTATTAAACAAAAATCATCTGCAAATGGTGCAGTGATGAGCTTTTGGCCATCTAGCTCGTATCCCAATCGGCTGTTTTCCGACAGAACTTCAATTATTGGATTGAAGCAAAGGAGAAAAATTATCGGCGATAACGGATCCCCTTGGAATATGCCCTTTTTAAAACGAAACTGTTGTGAGTTCCATTCTTTAGTCGAAACAAAACCATTAAGGGAAGAGTACAGGTTCATGACATAATCAACAATCGGTCTAGGAATATTATTACGATTAAGACTGTATTCAATAAGATCATGCGGTACTGATCCGAAAGCATCTTCAAGATCAAACCAAGTAAAGTGTACCGTTCTACGGGACTTTTTCGTGTGTTTAATAATTTCATGAACCACAGTATTGTGGTCAAGACAACCAGAAATACCATGCAAGAATCCCTTCTGGACAGTGCGATCTACAAAATCATTATCAGTGACAAAAGTTTTTTAAGCATACGGTAATAGATACCATCAGGACCTGGGGAAGAATGGGAACTTTTCCTTTGGAGAACATTTTTAACGTCCTTTGGTCTAATGGGATCTGTATTAAAGTCCGAAATTGGGTTCTTGAGCGGAGGAATCCAAGATAGACTAGAAGGGTCAACACTCGACGGGGACTCGTAACGTGATTTGAAGTAGTCATTGGCGGTATCTGCACTGCAAGTGGGCGTGGCACTACGAGAGTATAGAGAGTCTTTCACGATCTTTTTGCTGAAGTCCCAAAAGTTTCTTTTGAAACACCGTTCTTCATGTTGCGCGTTTCGCTCACAGGTTTGCTCATCGCGTCTTTTCTTAAGGTGAGTGTAGGTTGCGAGAGCTGCATGAAACATGTCTCTATCTTCTTTCGAGCTGGACTGCCTGAATGCACGGCGGCGAAGACGATTTTTTAGCTTCCGTGCCTCATCCAGAAGCTTTGGTTCGCGTCGGGAGAACGATCTCTGTTCATTCTGATTGTTGACAAAGTCAGGTATTTCAGCGAAGAAATCTTGAAGAATAGATTCGAAGTTAGAACCCGCTTCAGCTGGCGTGAGCGTGTCTGTTGCTAGGTCATTATGCAATAGGCGTAGACGATCCGCGAGTCTGGTATTCAGAGAATTCCATTCTGCACCTGGCAACTGGGGTAGTGAGAACTTAATAACTGTTGCCAAAAGGCAGGCGGTTGCAAGAATAGGTATCATGACGCTAACTCTAATAGATGGGACTGCAATCTTAAATGCATACAATTCACAAGTCACAGCTCATAAAGTATTTCAATATATATCGAAAACTAGTAAATACACAGCAACCTAAATATAAATGACAACTCACCAGTTACATGGTTCCAAAGTAAATCCAATAAAATCCTAAATTAACCTAAAGTAAAATGCAGATCGAATGGAGGCAGAAAGTGCAAGTTTGCAAAGGCTACATGGCCATGTCATGCCTCCATTTTGCAAAAAACATTGCATTGCATTTTCGTTTGGAATGCACCTGCGATTTCACTACAGTGAAAGATGTTTGTATATAGACACATGAACCAGTTAAAGTTTCAGATCAGATTATTTGGCACAACAAACATGTGGTGTATGATAATCAGTCGCTCTTTTATAAAGGCTGGTATGACAGTGGTCTAGTATTTTTAGGAGACCTTTTTACGAGAGATGGCTTTCGGTCAAAAGAATATATTTAATCGCAGGTGCATTCCAAACGAAAATGCAATGCAATGTTTGACTATGCAAGACTTAAACGAGCGATACCTCCTGTATGGGTCAATAGTTTAAAAGAAGAATTTATGCATGATTATACTAGACAAGAAAATGAAAACAATGTTCCATATCTGTTGGTGGCAAATAAGGTAAAACATGTTACTGATATAAGTAGCAATCGTTTCTATAAACTCATTCCTTCAAGAACTGTATTAACTAACACATGTTGCCTTTATTTGGGAAAAAAAAATTAATGTAGATATTGATTGGTCTAAGGTATTCAAGCGTAATCTTGCTCAAATTAGAGAAAGCAAATTACGAGAGTTTAATTTGAAATTACTGTATAATCTATTGCCAGTAAGAAGTAATCTTTTCAAATGGGGAATATCCAATGACGATGTATGCCCCAACATGTAATATAAAAGAGGATATGAATCACGCATCTATAGAATGCAAACTAATTGAGCCCTTCATTAAACATATCAAAGAAATATTAAGAGATGTATACAAAGTAAGGATACTGACGCTCAATATCCAACACCTACTCAAAATAGATTGTGAAAGTCATTGTATATTATTCTTTACAATAGCATTTTGGACCATTTATGAATTGATTGTTAAACGAAATATAACTGGGATAGACAAGAGAAAAGTTGCTTCTAAACAAAATCTCCATAGAGAAATTATAAAAAGAATGGAAAGTAAATCAAACTTAAAGATGAACAGAAAGCTTTTACCAAAAGAACTGTTGGGTGTTATTTAAGAAAAGAAAGGAAAAAAATGAAGAAAAAAAGAAAACAAAATTAAAAAGGAAAACAAAAGAAAGGGAATCAAAACTATCGTTATAATTTGTATGTTAATTAAGATTCAATTGCTTTGCAAAGCAAAACTTAAGTTCATTTCTTTGTTCTTATGACAATAATAATGTTTTTGCGATTATGTAAATTTGATTTGTAGTATTGTATCTTTGAATGTAACCATGTATATATAATCAATAAATCCTCTGATGAGGCAAAGAAAAAGAAAAGAAAAAACTATTTAGAAAGGTTATTTTGTTCAAATTTTAACCTGACGTTGAATTTAAAAAAAAAAATTGAATAGTATTAATACCCTATTATACTCCATGTAAGTAAGAAAAGCTAGAAATCATTTCCTGAAGAAAAAAAAAAAAAATTACACTATACAAATAGTAAACATTCATTTCTAAGGAAGGCCTAATCTGGCAATGGCAGAATTATTTAAACTTGGCATGTTTATGGGTAAAAAATATACATAAAATTGCACGACTGCCAATTTTGATGAAGTCTAAAATCTTCTCAAGTTTCTTTGATTTTAGATGAGTACTATGATATCATAAATTTGAGCTGCCTAGGTTTTTGGATAATTGTGCTTATTAACCCCAAGGATAATAAAGTACTTGAACAAAACATTTACAATTCAAGTGAACTTTTAAGAGTAATTTTTACTTCAAATTTAATATTTAAAAAAACTAATAATATAGGGGCAAAAACCGAGGCTAAGATTTGATTATCCAACACAGAAAGATACATTGTTTCATTAATCATCACACCCTTCAATCATCATGTGACCACACTGAAATCAAAGTGCTTTGAACAACGGCAAAAGAATAAGAGAAAAAAAAGTTTAAACAAAACTTGAATGAAAAATGAAAAAGAATGGCTTACAAACTTAAAGTGGAGAATGGCAATATGAAATAGGCAAATCAGGCATTTATCTAATTGGTTCCTAGACAATTTCTCAAATTAGTCTTCTGAATTCTCTATTTTCTGTTTTCAACTTGGAATGGTTTTCACAATCAAATGAGAATAAAGAATACATTTCAAATCAGAGTTTCATCATCCATATTGACCTGCACATCCTTCGCATTCAATTTGTAACTTTATCCCTCATTAACATTCTAAATACCGGTACACCAACAGAATTGTAAGCTCTTGTAGACTTGTACTATCACAAATTATGCGAGAAGCATGTATGCAGCAGGGCCCCACATAACAATTTTGGAAGGGAATCCGGATTCAAATTTTCAGAGTCGATAGGCACGAGCCATTCAGCGTGTACACTTGTACATGTATGTGAACATTCTAAGTGTAGGGGGTACCTGTAGACTACTGATTTTAGGTGCCCATATGTCACAAGCATTTGTTAGTGTTTAGCCCTGCATGCAGGATAAAACAACAAGTTTAAAGTTGGTGGGTAAGCAGTTTCCTTGTAGTCCACTCAACGAATAACCCCATGTCTCTTCCATTTTTTAAAGAGTCTTAGGTGGTGCAAATGTAAGATGAGGACTTTACCATATGGGGAAAAAGACATTAATCTACACTTGCCACTCTCCACCCAGGTGTTAAATGGGTACCGGTAGCAAGGATTCCTTAAATGCTGTGACCATCAAAATCGGCAGCCTAGCATAGCCGGGTAATGTTGGAGCGCTTTGAGGACCTTGCAAGGTCGATACGTGCGCTATATAAGAATCCAACATCACTATTACATGTAGTTAAACACCCGGTGTCGAGTACCCCATGAGACTCTTCTTCTACATGACTTTAAAAGGAGTGTCGCGCTTACTACCAATCAACACTTTTCCAGCATGTTAACAATTAGTGTGTCCAGGGTTGATAATAAGAATTCAACCAGAGTACGGACAAGACAATTGAACAATTGTCCCTCAAACATTTTCCATACTAACAATCAGACATCAATAAGGAATGCTATTTCTATGAGATTCTTTATCTACTTACCACTTTCTGCGACGAAGCTGTCTCCACTGTCAGAGTCATAGCATGCAGCGAGGGAGCCGAGGGCACCAAATGTTCCTTTTGGGGCCACTTCTATATTGGGGGTGACCCCTTCGGTCCCGGGTGCCTCTTCATCACCAGATTCTAAAGGGAAAAAAAAGTGAAGAAAAAAACGGTTAATTCCTTTGAATGGTCATGCCTTTAACTCTCCCATGTTGTGGACAGCAAATCCTTTCATAGATTACTAATCATCTGTTATCTGTTCAGATGAAAAGATGTTTGTTTTGTACAGAAGTAAAATCACACATATGCATATATTGCAAAATTATGGCTGTATTCTACTTTCCTCTCCATACATGTATTTGTTACTATCAGATAAGGACAAGATAACCATAAATACAGAAAGAAGTTTTCCAAAGTACATTTTCCTGTTCTTTACTTTCTTTTTCTGATTCCTCCTCCTCCTCCCACTTTCTTTTCCCACCCAACCTTGTGGCCAAACTGTCCCTTGTAATTGATGTCTCCCTCTGTTCTATTCCTATTTTCCTTTCCTATATTGTAGCTTATAGTGTAGCCTTGTCCTTACCTTCAACTATCACACCATGAAAACATAACCAAACAGAAAGAAGGATTTGAAAGTAAATTTTCCTCCTTCCCTGTCTTTTATTCTTGTTCCTCTTCCTCTTCCAAATTTATTTTCCCCACCCGATCTTGTGGCCGAACTGCCCCCTTGTTTCCCTCTCAAGACTAGTCTCAGTTGAGGAAAACATACATGTATTACTTCAGATAAGAATTTTAAAGTAATGTTTATTTTTCCTCTCTTTCCTACTTGCATTTTTTATCCTATTTTGTAGTTCTATTCTACCCTTGCTCTTTATTAGCTAAAGTATCAGTTGGGAAAAGATAGTGGTTAAGAAAAAAGGATGCTAAAGTAATTTCATTTTCTTTCTCTCTCTTTTTCTCCAATTCCTCCTTCTACATCTCCTCCACCTCCTCATACTGTACTTTCGTTTTTATCCTATCATGCAGCTATATTTTATCACATTTTGAGGAAAAATACAGGTTCAGAAAGAAGGCTCCATCTACTATTCCTCTTTTCCTTCTACTTTCTTTTTCTATCCTATCTTGTAGCTGTATTCGTTCCTTGTCCTTTTCTTATTGAATAATCACATTTTGAGGAACGATACAGGATCAGAAAGAAGGCTATATAATAGCAATCCCCCTCCCCTCCATCTACTATTCCTCTTTTTCCCCTTCTTTCTTTCCTATCCTATCTTGTAGCTGTATTTCGAGGGGTTCAGTGACACAAAGACATAACTCCATTTTGGCCATTTTTGAGAAAAACTGGTTTATGTGTCACTGAGCACTTCAGCTGGAGTTAAGTCAATGTTTCACTAGACATTGACTTCAATGGGGTGTTGGGTGGAGTTAAGTCTTTGTGTTTCCTGGAAAGCCCCCATTTTTCTGAACATTTTGATATCAAATACTCATTTTGGCAAAATATGGAGTTATAGCTTTGTGTCACTGACCCATCGATTTATCAAATACTGAAAAGGTACCAGACTACCAGTGTAGAAAGGAAAGCAGGTCAATGCTTTCCTGCCTTCCCAGTACCAAGGCTTTTCTTTTCAGCTAAAAAAAAACCTGGAGAGATAAAAAATCACCAACAAAGATAACAGAATAGCCTGAGGGGGGACAGCAGAACCAAAGTCACGCTTGAACCTCTCCATTAACAACTCAATAACAAAAGGACAAAGAATAATTTTTATGAACGATTATGGCATTTACAGGACAATAGGTATTTCAAAATGGGTACTGCAATCGATGACATAATACAAAACATAAATAAAAAATTGCACAACTGAGCAGCAGTGGAAAGCTGTAGCTGAGAAGAAGGAAAAAAGAGTCCATAACAAAAAATCTTTTATGCTTGCACACTGTTTGAAGTAACAATGTAAAAATCATGGGGGGGGGGGGGGGACGATATTTGGTAGAGAGCACACATGGAAAATGGCCTAGTGTGGTCCGATATAAAGCAATTTAACAATATTTGTGTATTTCTCCATACAAACATAACTGAATCTGCACAAGGAAAGCAGGCAATAAATTACCAACTTAAAAGTTCAAAATAAGTGCTTAACGGACAATTTGTTGGTGAACCGCCCTGCTTTTTACTATTACTATCAGGGTGATTGTGAGCAACAACAACAACAAAATCCTTTTTTCAGTTTTTTTTCTTTCATACTTTTTACTATTTTAATACTAGTACGCACCTCCTTCGTCTGGCAGTGTAGCACAAAGCTAACAAAACTGTTGGGGTTCTTTCAACCGAACAACGTGGGAATTGAAATACGCAAAAGCCCGGATAAAGTGATTGTTGGCAAACATTCAGTGCAAATAGCTCCCATACCATTCCATAAAGAAATTCTTTTGTAGAACAAAACGAAACAAACTGAATCGTTGAACGTTGTACTGTTTATCATTTCTCATCATTCAGGTGAACGATGGTACTCGCATAGCCACGCTGCAACGTGATCTTTTCACACTTCCGTTTCTCATCATCCAGGCCCGCAATAATAGTCACGTGGCAAGGTGGCAACGATTCCATGTGAACTTTCCCAAAAGGTCATGATGCAACGAGACCTTTTCTCATCTTCGTCTTCCCATGATCTGTTCGATACCCGACTTACTGTTGAGTACAACCTATATGAAATGATAAGATTTAAATAGATCTTTAATCTGATCCCCACTCAATTTATGTTACTTGTGATGTCAACAACCGTACTGATTTTACTATGTCCATCTTTTTATATTTGTTATACATGTATGCGTTTATTCGCAATTCTATGTATCTGTTTTTATATTGAGTGAATAAAAGATTTGATTTGAGTTCATTTGATATGCGTTCAAGCTCTCATCATTACAAACACGAGAAGAAGGATGTTGAAAAGTGACCCTGGAGTACTTATTGTCACCGGGATTGGATTGGGCATCTTTGCCTCAGATTCTAAAAAAAAGCCTGGATTTAGCTCATGCTCCAATCATAATTATAAACCTTTAGGTCAGTTAGGAGTCCTATGACTTTTACAGGCCCATTGCCCGTCTGATTATCAAGATATTTCAATCTATTGGGGAAAATGAGTATGGTAAAACCAGTCACTCAAAGATTTTTACTTTTGAGCCCGAGGGGGGGGGGGGGTGTTAGGTATGGAGGAGGGGGAGGCAAGCAAGAAGAGCATTCGACATCAAGAGTGAGTTGGGCGGGGGGAACACAAGATGAATTGAAATATGCGGAAGCTTTAATATTGCACCCAGACAAAGCGATTGTTGGCAAATATACAAAGCAAATAGCTCCCATACAATCCTGTAACCAAAATCCTTTGGTAGAACAAACAAAACCAAATTGAATCATCAAATGTTGTGCTGTTTATCGTATTGCATCATCCAGGCCAACAGTAATAGGCACGTGCACGTGGCCACGATTCAACGTGACTTCTTCTCAGTTTGTCTTCCCACGATCTGTTCGATACCTTTCCGCCTGATACCTCACTTGATGATTATTACAAACTACAAAACATGTGCATCCAAGCTTTCATCATTACATAAATTAATATTCGTCACCTAGCTTCCTCAATGCAAAAGAAATCCAGATTTGGGAGGGTATTGGAGAGGCAGATTCGGATAATGCCTGCAGGGGGAAGGGAGGGGGACCAAGGGGAGGTTACAGTCACATCAGGTTATTTTGGTAACCAATGACAGATACACAGAAACACAAACAGGTACTGTAGATAGACATACATTCGGCTCCCAATTTATTCACCAGACACAGATAAGCCAACATTTATTCTGGCAACCTTCGGACCATGTTCTCTTGCATCAATAATAGTGCTAGGTCTAGCACTGCAATTGGATTTATATTTTAAAGCCCCACTGCACTACCGGTACTTAAAGCTACTTGCGCCATCTATTTAGCAAACAATGCCTAATCGGTGACCATTGATCCCCATGATCCCCTTATTCTTGTGTTAATTTGAGAACTTAGTTGATGAGCTAACCATCTGTCAGTGACCTTGCAGGGAGGTCTAATCCCCCTGGCCAAACTGGTGCAGACAGGCTTTAAGACTACATCAAGGGTTAGGGTGAGTTAGCATCGGGCCCACCGTTCGAGTTAGGAATATTGCATGAAGAATTGAAGATGGTCCCCAGAGTGATCTGTCGTATGATCACGATGAACTTTGACCCTTCCTGGGTTGTGGGAATTTCAGTTGAAAAAAGAGCGAGTACGAAGTGCAGCCAAAAGTAGGTTAGGTTAATTTTCAGGTGACAAGACCTTCGCTGGCTGGCTGGCCTCTGTAGTACAAGCTTGGAGGGGGAGCACTGGCTGGTCCATTAACAAAGAAGAGAACTAGCACGATTGCACAATACGATTGCATTATGGTACTTTTGCAATGACAAAAGAAAAATGCTTAGCTTCTAAACAAATAATAGAGAAATAGTTTTCTTTTATCTAGAGACGATTGTTCTAATACACCTAGCTCCTAAAGATTCTAAGAACAACACTATAGGATATAGAGCAATACTCAATTTATTCCCAGGTTCGTCCATTACGTTTGACCCGCTTTATTGCATCAATGACAAAACAAAATGGCAGGATTGCATATAAGTTCCTTGGCTGATATTAGGCACTCATCTCTACGCAGAGGAGGGGAAATTTGAATTAATTTGCAACCTGCTGAAAAATTAGAGCACACATTATACACTGTACATGTACCGTCCATAGTGAGGAAGATTTGGCTGCTCCGAATACAAAGCCTTCCCAACAAAAGGATAATCCGAACCTAAATATTCTACTTACACGAGATGAGGGGAGTCACGGAAAATTGTAAAATCGTACACACCTGCTGCCGAATGGAATATTCTTGGCTTTTATATCAATTATAACCCGACTATAACCTATTGGAATTTACAAGTAAATGCATGAATACATTCCTCATGCGGTTATTCTATTACGACGTCACGTGAACGTTTCGTGTGGTGCCTAAATGTGCACGTACCAAATGGACGACCGTTTAAAGGGAAAAACGCTTTCAATGCAACCAATCCTGTTTTTTCCTTCATGACCAACGATCACTGTAAATGTATGC